GGACTCCAAGCTCTCTCACTTGGAGCCTGACTCACTGTGTCTAGGTCCTGTGTCCCTGAAGCTCTGCCCCTGGGAGATGGCTCTGGTTGCCCAGCAGCTCTACTGCTCAAGTCTCTCTGGTGGGTGGATTCTCAGCCCAGTCTGGCTGACAGCAGAGGCCCTTGGTGACCGTAGGAGACAGTGAAGCAACTGGTGCTGTAAACCACTGAATTCTGGAGTGGTTTGGTGAGAGCAATAAAGAAGCCGAACACCAGGAAAGTCACTGAAACTTCTCATGTCTGGTTTTCCACACACTCGACTGTCACTGGGTAACTGAGCAATGCCAAGTGCTGGCATTGGAGGAAGGTTGTTGAGGACATGGTCTGGGACAAATCCTCCCTGCCCTGGGGAGCCTTGTCAAACTAGGGGAGGGACAATGGTTACTGAGCAAAGTGCCAGGACAGAAAAGAGAATGGATGGGTGCAGTGTGGCCTGTGCTGTAGCCCAGATGTGGCGGGCTGGCGGGGTGCCTTCATGTAGATCAGAGGGCAGGAAAATGAGCCCCTGAGATGCAAGAAGAGCACTCCAGAGGGGCAGGGGCCAGCACCTGCTGGTTGTGAGGTGGGATGTGCTGGATGGCAGTGAAGTAAACAAAGAATGTGAGGGAAACTCCTGTGTGGGGCTCTCCTGCTTGCTGGGGGGTCAGAAGGCAGCCTGAACTACACTTTTGGCTAATTCTCTCTATCCACAAGTCCTCCAGGAAATATAAGCCCAAAAGGCATTACTCATATCACTCGTCATCCATGCTCCCTGGCTGGGAGTGCAAAGTCTACCTGTAGTCCAAATTTCTTGAAATTACACATACATTTTGATGATCTTGGTCTCCAGTCTTCCAAAGGTCTGGCCTAAGGCTAGATCTGAAAGGACCAGGCCAGAAGCAGTCACAGAAAGACAAAGCCTAGAGTGAACGAGGCCACCCGAAACTTGTGCCTGGCCATGAGAAGACCGAAAACACGCCACTTCAGTACTACGCCTGCCATTTAGCGAGACTGTCAAAAAAGGAAGCAGCTGGCTACAGTCTATTCTGGCACAGGCACCTTACTGTGCGCATCAGTAACAGCCTGCAACCTAAGCATCCTAGAGGCAGGTGTTCTCCTCGCATACAAAGCGTTAGATAGAGTCAAACTCCAAAATGGAAAGTGTTGTACCCATACTGCTTTCTGAAGCCCAAGTACTTCTTGGAGATTATTTAAAAAACAACAACAAAAAACTGAACCTACTTAATA